ATGGGAGTCCCTGGTTGTGGTGTATCATGAGAAACATAGTCCAGGTGCCTGATACTCCCATTCTCCTCTACAGGCTGGGCTCCTTGGTTAGACTACATCTCCAGTGATGCACCATGATACCTCTCTTGGAGAGGGGAGGCAGTAGGTGAATCATGGGAGTTCCTGGTTGTAGTACATCCTGGGAGATGTAGTCTACTGGGGAGCCTGACCTGTAGAGGAAAATTGGAACAAGAAGCGATTAAACTATAACTCCCATGTGGCACCATGGCAGCATTTCAGAATCAAAATATTTCAGTTTTCAGCTGAAATTTTTCGATTTTGGGGCATTTGTTTTTTGGACGAAAAACCCCAATTTTCCACAGAGAGTAGAAACTTTCTGTGAAAAAAATTTGCTTAGTCAACAAACTAATTTTTTCCATCAAAAAAGAATTTCGAGAGAACATTTTGGACCAGGCCTAACGATGGTTCATTGTCTGTAGTTGGTCAAGATGGCCCTTGAACTCATCTCTGAATTTCACCCTGAAAGGGGAAGGATTGGATAGGTATATAAAGGGTTAAATTAACTTGGCTAACGACTATATCATGCTTGCCAATTTGTGTTGAGAAGTTCTGGGAAGGTCTGGAGAGATCGTGTTGGAAATACTGATCTTAAAAAGCCCCAATTACCAGGGATGGTTCTAACCTGTTTTAGCAAAGAACAGAATTCAAGGAGCAGTGACAATAGTCATGTAGGTTCCAGTCAGGAGCGGTGGAAGCTCCCTAAAAGCGCGGGACCCACTGGCGCCCGAACCATGGCCCCGCCTCCACAACACCTTTTCCCCCTGAGGCCCCACCCCCTGCTCACTCCTCTCCGCCCCCTCCCACCCATCGCTTGCCCTTGTGGCCAGTGGGAGGGATGGGGCCATGGCTCCCGGACCCTCCTGTTCCGGCACCCAGGGTTCCAGTAGATAAGGCATAAAAGGGTGAACTCTTCAAATATTTGTTGCTGGTATCTGTCTGACCAGTTGGCGCCAGCCAACGTGGGTTTAAGCTAATTCTGTTATAAGTTGCCGATCAAAACTTATCACTGCACATTATTGTATGGAGGTGATGACTGCCTAGGCATTTAAGCCTAGTTTGGAGCAGTTGTGTAAATACCACTTGGCCATCTGGATTTAATAAAGGACTCTGTGGTTAAATTGGTGCTGTGCTGGTACCCTGTATTAATAATAATAATAACAACACGACATAGCAGACTCCATACTGCTTTGCCCCACCTCCCACATTGGGATTAGCAACCAAAGACCATCTAGCATCCCCCCGACCCCCGGGAAAGGCGTTGGGTTACCTTGGGCGCGTTGCACAGATAGCGCATCACCTCCCCTACGTACTGGATCACAGAGACGTGGTATCGCCGGCAGTCATCCCAGAACTGGGAGACGGAGAACTTGGGACGCAAGACGCAGGTGGCTCCTAGGGGAGAGGGAAGGAGAGGTGATGGGGGGCATGTGAACCCCATCAAATACAGCCTTTCCAGTCTACCCTAACCCAATCATGGCACTGAAGAGGTAACTGGTACATTGCTTATCTCACTGATTTGATTCGTCCACCATTTGCCTTATGTTCTGCCTGACTATTTGTTAAATCCACTTGTTGTATCTCGTCTTATACTCCTCAGGGCCGGAACCATCTTTTTGTTCTGTGTTTGTACAGCGCCTAGCACAACAGAGCTACAACACCTAGTTGACATCATAAAACAAACAATAATAATAATATGGCAGGAGTCACCAGGTGGCACTGCTGCGTATAGGCTTTTTTCTTGGCGTGTGAGCAAATGGTCAGTCTTTGGAGACATGTTTGAATTATGGTTAGTTTTGTGAAGCAGTTTCTTTTTAGGAGGAGCCGTGAGTTTCTTTCTGACTAGAGCTGATTTCTGAGACACAGTTAGTTGCTCCCAGTGCATCGATCATTGGTGGCATGCCGAGATTTCTGAAAGAAAGGATTTCCCCTGCATACTGAGCACTGTTGTAATAATTGGGACTATACATTTGCCCTATTTGTAAGCCCAACTGTAAAAAGTATGTAGAAGTTTATAAAACGTCACAATAACCTACAATAACAAATGTCAGTGGGAAAAGGAAAACTGAGGTAGTCTAAACAAAGAGGCCCATGGAGATAACTCAAGGACTGTCTTAAAGTCATGCTTGGTAAAACCAGAAGACGTGGAACTGGCAATTAATGAACCAAAATTGTGTGTCAGAAACTAGGCCTAATTGGTGGTCAAAATAATGAGGGGACAGGCAGTTCCACTCATGACTCCCTTTGTGGGTCCTTAAAGAAAGATTTTTTTGGGGGGGAATAGAAAAAGAACAGATGAGGGCTATGTAGAAAGCCTCACCATCATGACAGCCACCCCCACCGTCTCCTGGGACATCTGGCCTCTGCCCTAATCCTCAAAGATGTCTGGGCCAGAGAGAGGAACCCAGACGATATCACCACCCGTACTGGCTCCTGCTGAACCCCAAACACCACCTGAGATGAAACGGGATCAGATTCAAACATCAGCGGCAACAACCACAGCTCCAGCCCGCCTCAGCTAACGTCATCTCTTTTCGCCAGAAGGATCATTACCATCTTGGGTACCGTAGGAGAGACAAGGAGTGTCTTTCTTTAAAACTCTCCAGATAAAAGGAAAGGGGACAGGACTTGTTCACGTGAAAGCCCTACTCAATACTTCACATTTCAAAGGCATTAGCTGGTTTTCCTTCCTTTCTGTAGCTTTAATAGAAGGTTAAAAAAAAAATGATGGTGCATTTGCCGTGGCCCTAAGCAGGCTAAGCTCTCTGGAGGCCAAACCCTGAATCTTGTTGAGTACTGTTTAATGTTGGACAGCGACTGGGTTGTGTTAACACCTTTGGCCCACATATTCCATCTAAATTAATACAACACCATCTCTGTGCAAGGCCTGGCACATATAATATAAAAATAAACAACATGCCTTTAAGAATGTATCTCCTCCAGTGGAAAGCCAAGCTGTGAGGGGCTCTGGGTATCCACTACAGCTTAAGAAACTTAAGGAACATAAGTATGGCCATCCTGGGTCAAACTATTGGTCCATCAAGCCCAGTATCCTGTCTTCCAACAGTGGCCAGTGCCAGATGCTTCAGGGCTACAGAACAGGGCAACTCTTGACTGATCCATCCCTTGTTGTCCAGTTCCAGCATCTGGCCGTGACAGTCTTAGCCATCCTGGCTAATAGCCATTGATGGACCTCTCTTCCGTGAACTTATCTAATTATTTTTTGAATCCATTTATACCTTTGGCTATCCCTCGGCAGTGAGTTCCACAGGTTGACAGTTGTGTTGTGTGAAGGAGTACTTGGCAAAGGGGTGACAATAACCTGAACAAACGGTTTTCACAGGAGCTAAATTCCACATGGTTTAAACTTCACGCTCAGAGAAGAGTTTTAGAGCCCAGCTCGGCAGAATTAGCAATAACTTAGGAGGGAAGGGAAGGGCCCGTCTCTTTGTTCTGTGCCTGTACAGTGCCTAGCCCAGTGGGGTTCTGGGCCACGGCTGGGGCTCAGGGTCATAGAGTTTCAGGCTAGAAAGGACCATCTGATCACCTCTCCGAGCTCCTGTATGTCACAGGGCCACCCACTCCACCAAGCACCTGCCCGCTAAACCCAGCAACTGAAATGGGACCAGTATATTACAGCCCACAGGAGACATGGTGTGTGCCACAGGCAGAGAATAGGAGGGACCCTATGCGAGGCCCCCGCAATGGCAGTGAAATGGTTAAGTGAGATACACCCAGATAATCCTGGCACGTGACCCACACGCTGCAGAGGAAGGCAAAAAACCCCTAAGGTCCCTGCCAATCTGAGCTGGGGGAAAACTCCTTCCCCACTCCACCTAATGCGATCAGTTTAATCCTGAGCACGTGAGCAAGAACCACCCAGCCAAACACCTGAGAGAGAATACTCAGTGCCATCTCAGAGCCCTGTCCTGTGTCCCATCTCCAGCCGCAGCCATCCCTGCTGCTTCAGAGGAAGGAGATAAAAACAAAACAATAGCAACAAAAAATAGAATACACTGTGTGCGGGGGTGGGGGAATCCCTTCCTGACCCCTGCCGCTGGTTGGCTGAAACCCTGAAGCATGACCTTTCAGGAGCATAAAACATAAACCGTCAGTGAGCCACAACTCCTTCTGGGCGGCTGTCCCAGAACCTCACCCCTCTGATGGCTAGAAACCATCTTCTAATTTCCAGCCCAAATTTGTTCAAGGCCAGTTTATAATCCATATCTAGATAATAATAATAAGAATTAAGAATGATGTTTGCTTAAAGATGACCTGGCATGGGAAAACTGCACTTGTTTGCATTTCTATCTATGTATCTATCTATCTATCTATCTCCATACCCAACCACTTCTCTATCCATCCACCTCTCCCAGTGATGCGCCCCTGCACCCTCTGTGTCTTTAGACCTGTGCCGACACTCTGTACATACCAACCTCCAAGCATCCTCCAAGTCCAACGAGTAGTGCAGCCGAATGGTACAGCGGCAGAGGGGTGTAGATCACGTCCTCGGCTTTGACGCCACTTATGTATAACATGGTCACTATGTTGCACAGCTTCAAGTGGGTGATGATGGCAGCTTTCGGGAGTCCTTGTAGGCCAAAGAAATTTTGTTTAGTGATGCCTCATGGGTTTTGTAGTGCAGTTACCACATGACCACCTTCTCCATTATAACCCGGGCTCCTGGATTGAACTACATCTCCCATGATGCACCACAGCCAGGCACTCCCATGGTGCACTACTTCCCCTGTCCAAGAGGGCATAGGTGCTGACTTTTATTTTTCCCTGTGGGAGCTCCACCCCCACTCCACCCCTTCCCCTGAGGCCCTACCCTCGCTCCACTTCTTCCTTCCCCTGCTCCACCCCCTCCCCTAAGGCCCCCCACGCACTCGTTGCTCTCCACCCTTCCCCAAGTGCCTCCTGCTAGCCACCAAACAGCTGATCGGTGGCGTGGCCAAACAGCTGATCGGTGGCGCCACTGAACAGCTGCGGTTGGTGGATGCTGAGCACCTACTATTTTTTTTCTGTGGGTGCTTAACCCCGGAGAACCCATGGAGTCAGTGCCTATGCAAGTGGGGACCTGAACTACAACTCCCATGAGGCACCATGCTGGTATTTCAGAATAAAAATATTTGGTGCTTTGGTCAAAATATTTCGGTATTTGAATTTTCATTGGTCAAAATCAAAATGTAACTTTTTTTTGTGTGCCAAAAATCACGAACAATTTAGACGAAAACAAAAAATTTTTTTTGTTTTCATCCAAAAAAAATTCCATTTTCCAACCCTCACTAGTGCTGATCAATATTTTGAAACTGGAAATGGCTGCCATTTTCCAAGATGACCGCGCTTATTCCTATTAAAGTTTTGGGAGTCCCATCTCCTGGTCCCTTAAGTTGGATGCAAAGTTTACAGATGCAGAAGACTCCTGTTTAGGGCTGAGGGGAAACACGTTTTTTCCTCCCATGAAAACTGTCAGCAATTTGAAAAGTATTCCTGTCCCAAACTTTCAAAATATCCCAAAAAAATTAGGAACCAAAAATTTTAAAAAATGGGCTCAAATCAAATCAAAATTCCATCTTGATCATTTCAAAATGTTTCATTCTGATGTTGACCGTTTTTTAACCTTTTTTGTGTGTGCAAAGTAAGGAATGTACCAAAGCAAAAAGCCGTCCCTGTGGCGTACTAAAAATTGTGTTAAAATTGCAAACTATCTCTTTAAGTGTTACGGGGTTTCCTGCTTGCAGTTGAGGGGGGCTCTGTAGGGAAGCACGCAACTTGGATCTTGAGCAATCAGCCTGCAAAAAGCCAGCCTAGAGCCAGGTGAGGTGAGCTGGGCCTCTCTTCCTCTGTCTCTCTCTGCTTTTGGTTCTTGCGTGTTATCAGTCTGCATTCTAAGAAATAACGTTGTGTGATGCTGCACATTTCCCAACCATCTCTAGTGCCGATCAATATTTTACATCCAGAGACGGCCGCCCTCTTCCAAGATGGCAAAGTTTGGGTTTTTTAATAATGTTGACAGATGTTTATTTTTAAGCATTTTTTTTAAATTAATTGATTTAAATTTTCAATGGTGCAAAAATTATGGGTTTTAAGCATCTTAATTTGATTGTTATCGATTTAAATTTTCACAGTTGTAGGAAATTAGGGGCGGTCGCACAGGCGCTGACTTTTGGGTTTGCCTGTGGGTGCTCCTCTCTGCCCCCTTCCCCCTGTGTGAGCAGCGGGCAGGGCCTCACGGGGAGGAGGCCGAGCAGGGCTAGGGCCTCAGGGCTGAGCACAGGAGGAGCGGGGGACGTGGCCACACTCCGGGTGCCGGGGCCCACAAAAGATTAGTCCCACCCTGGGGGGACTATTTTTTTAGATGGGTGCTTGAGCCCAGGAGCACCCACAGAGTCAGCACCTATGGGCGGTCAGACAAAAGGCGGGTCAGACCACAATTATTTATTGGCAACCGATGCTAAGATTCAAAAACTTTAAAGCTTTATAACCATTAAAAGACAAACTGTCAGCATCACATGTCAACATGCACAAAGGAAATATCCTTAAATCAAACTCGACTGCGTTTTCAAGCAGCCTTTTTCATACTTTGCCAATCTGACGATTATCAGTGGAAATATTGCTTTGTCGGTTTGGGCCTGTGTGATGAAACAACGTTTGTTGACATTTACCAATAAACATCTAATCGTACAAATGTGTGAGTAGAAGGGACCTCGATAGTCCAGTCCCCTGCACTGAGGCAGGACCAAGTATTATCTAGACTATCCCTGAGAGGTGTTTGTCCAACCTGTTCTTAAAAACCTCCAACGATGGCTATTCCGATTCCACAACCTCCCTAGGTAATTTATTCCAGTGTGTAACTACCTTGACAGTTTGGAAGATTTTCCTAACGTCCAACCTAAACCTCCCTTGCTCCCATACTTCTGGTCCTGTCCTCAGAGGATAAAGGGAACAAATGTTTCACACTCCTCTTTATAACAATCATCTTTCCAAGCCTACTTAACAGCCAGGTACAGCTGCTCAGCACTCCCATCACACGTCTCCTCCTCACCTGTGGTGCCCGAGGTGTAAATGTAAAGTGCAGTGGATTTGCTGGTGACATTGCCTCGGAAAGCGATGGGGATCGGCTCCTCGGAGGCGGCATCTATCTGGCCCTGGAGAGGCTCCACGCCACTGGTGGGGGACTCGGCGCTCAGGTAGAAAACCCGGATCCCTTTCTGTTGCAGGCTGGGCAGAACGTCCTCAATAGCGGCTTTGAGGTCTGAAGAGGGGGTGAGAAAGGCATTTTTCCCCATTGAGGAACACGGGTCGCTGCATCCACGCACACAGAGGCGTATGGAGACACAGACACAGATGTGCCCACCAACGCAGGCACACACAGATACACAAAGGTGGGAGCGGGCAGACAGACAGAGCAGATGCACGCAGAGGCGCACTGTGACACACTGTACCCCACGTTCCCCCCTGTACCCACATGTTCACCACCGCGAGATGGCTAGGGGATGGTTTGTACAGAGCATGCCTTGTGAGGTATCATGGGCAAAGCCTGAATTGGATGAACCTCATTATCCTGTTGAAATGCGTGGTTGTCATCGTTGGACATGAAGCTGTGAGATTTTGCTACAGACTGAAACATGTTGTGAGTCTGAGAAACGCCCACCGACCAGCCCCTTGGAGAGGACAGAGAAACGGCAAACACAGAGGCCGTACGTGCCAAAGCTCATGTCGATCAGGAGTGGAGGAAGCTCCCTAAAAGTGGGGGGCCACCGGCGCCCGAACACTGGCTCCGCCCTCATGCCACC